GATTAGACACAAACATAAAAACCATGAAACAAGCCACCATTCTTTGACAATCTGAGCAAAGATAAAATGCCTAAGGAACAACATGAATGACTTGCAAAGGATGGGCTCTTCACTGTAAGCCCCATAAAAAAGCGGGGAGCACAAATGGATGAGTGTTTCCAGTTATACACACGGAATTGAACTTTTGGCACTAGGAATCAGAGCATTTTGTCATATAGCATTAACACATATTGTGAAAGTGCGTAGTGTCAAAGGAATAGAACCACCAGCATTCAAACGCAGCTTTGTCAGCTAAGCAGTGAAACACTCTACAGTACGTCTCTCTGTTGTCTATCATTGAAAACACTGGTAGCAACTTTGAAATAAAAAAAAAAGAAAAAAAAAGGAGCTGTAACCCCTTTTATTTTCTGTTTAAAATCAAACAGAAAACAAACATCATTTCTGTTACACACTAACGTTTCCAAAGTACATCATTTGTACAAGAGAAGGACTAACAAAAATGTGTTTACAGAGATCCAAACATGAGGGCGTACAAGCACCTCACACAGGTTTCCACTCGTACTCAGGAGGAGCCACTTCATAATCACTGGCACTAAACAGAGTTCTTTGCCAGGTGTTCTAGGAAATCATGAAGATAATTCAGTAATAAAGCAAGGCTCTTCTCATCCAGAGGTGTGTAGGCCAACATTGCTCCAATACGTACAAATAATCTCAGTAGATGTGGCGCTGCATGCACCTTGGACATGGCGCATCAGGGTGATCTGCAAGGATTTCAGCATACCGCGGTCTCTCATGTTTGCAGAGCAGCTGAGTGCCCAGCATTACACTGAAGTATTCCTTGATCCCTGCCACAACTTCATTAACAGCATACTCCTTATTTTCTGTGTTTCTTCAAGATGTCTTGTAGTTTGCAGAATCCTCTAGAATGGAATCCACATTCTTCTTGTCAGGAAGATAAAAGAGCTCTTCTTGCCAGGTAATTAAGTCCCGGTCTTCAACAAGCCATGGTTTTAGTTCTTCAGGAATCTTTACTTTAACTTCAACTGTTCAACTGTTCATGAATGTTTCCTCATTTTCAACAGTAGAAGCTACTCAGGCCCTTTCCTCGCGAGGAGACTGAGGTGTCTCACTCGTACTACCACCGTCTCCATTTCCAGGTGTTTTCTGTTTGTTCTTTTTTGTTTTCACTTCAACATTTTTCTGTTGCAAACCAGAAGTCTTCCTTCCGGGGCAGCCCCTCTCATCTTGCCCTCTGCGTACTGCTCCTGATTGGCTTTGCTTGGAAATGCAAAGGAACTTGAGTAGATAAAACAGCTTTGAAAAAAGGATAAAGTGGGAGGAATCACACCCAATTTCAAAACTTATGATATGGCTACAAGAAACTGTGGCATTGTTGGAGGGATGACTCTCTGATCAGTGGAGAGAACTTGGGAAGCGGCCTGTGGGATTATGGCCAAATGATTCCTGACCAAGGTGCAAACAAAGCAATCTGGTGGAGGAAGGATAGTCTTCACCTAACTGGACATATATGGGCAAAAAATTAATCTCAGCCTAAATCTCATACCTCACAATAGATCTTAGGTTTAAATATAAAACATAAAACTATAAAGAAAACCTTTGGGACTTACCGAGTAAAAAGTTCTGAGATGTGACAACAAAAGCAAGACAAGCTACAGACCGTGAGAAAATATTTGCAAACCTTATATCGTAGACTATATAATGAAGTCTCAGAACTCAACAGTAAACACACACACACACACACACACACACACACACACACACATAATCAGTCCAGTTAGAAAATGGGCAAAGGACATGAAGAGACATTTCCAAAGAGGACATCACATGGCAGATAAACACATGGAAAGGTGTTCGACGTCACTGTTATTAAGAAAAAGCACGTCAAGACCATGGTGAGATGTTACCATGCTCCTAAACAACTAAATGTGAAAAACTAAAGTGAACAACAGTGAGAGCACCGGGTGCCAGTGAGGATGTGAAGAAACCATCTCTCATATGTTGCAGGTGGGCGTGTAAGGTGGTGTGGCCCCCCAGGAGCAGAGTTGGCAGTTCCTTTAAAAACTGAACATACTTATCAGAGCAGCTGCACTCCTGGGCATTTATCCAGAGAAACAAATACCTGCATTCACACGAAAATCTGCACCAAGTGTGTGTAATAGCCACAAACTGGAAACAGCCCAGATGTTCCTCAAAGGTGAATGGTAAACAAGCTGTGTCACATCCACACCATGGATAGCGCTCAGCAGTAAAAAGGGACAAGCTGCTGGTGCCACAGCAGCTTGGATGGATCTCAGATACATTGTGCTGAATGACAAAAGCCAACTCAACATGCCAGGCACCACACGACTCTGTTTATGCAAGGTTCTCAGAAGTTGTGTGGGTGTGTATGAGACTGTATGAGTGCTGGTTATTCGTTCACCGAGTCTCCAACCCCTCATGTGGGCTGGCGCTTCAATGCCTATCCTTCAGCGAGCTGTGTGGAAAGAAACAGGATGTTCAGGGCAGGAGCGGGTGTACGATCCCCGGAAGAGAGGCGCAGCGGGCCCCCAGCGTCCACCCAGTGTCCAGCCAGCTGCCTCTGAACCTCAAGTGGCCCTGGTCGCCCAGCCCTGTCCAGTCACCCACACAAACAGCTTCTGTCAGGAGAGGGAGAGAGTGAATTTCCCTCGTGTGTCCCCCTTCGCTTACCGCTTTTGTGCTTGATTTGGACCCAGAATCTTGGTGTTGGCTGTAGGCCACGCCCTGCGGGCCACGATTCTGTTGTGTTTGGTGTGAGGGGCTGAAAGACCGTGGGAAGCTTTGAGTCTTGTTCTCCGTGATGCTGAGACCCTTATTCTCAGTTCTGAGTGTTTCGACTTTGTTAGCTGCTGGATCCTAAGCACTTAAAATAGTACTTGCTCTTAGGGCTTCCCTGGTGGCGCAGTGGTTGAGAGTCCGCCTGCCGATGCAGGGGACACGGGTTCGTGCCCCGGTCCGGGAGGATCCCGCATACCGCGGAGCAGCTGCGCCCGTGGGCCATGGCCCCTGAGCCTGCGTGTCTGGAGCCTGTGCTCTGCAACGGGAGAGGCCACAGCAGTGAGAGGCCCGCGTACTGCAAAAAAAAAAAAATAGTACTTGCTCTTAAATGTTGAGAGAAATAAGAATATGTAACATTAATTATTAAGGCCACAAGCTTTTTAAAAAGTAAACAACATTATTATATATAAACATTGTTAAGGGATTTCCCTGGTAGTGCAGTGGTTAAGAATCTGCCTGCCAATGCAGGGGACACGGGTTCGAGCCCAAGTCCGGGAAGATCCCACATGCCGCGGAGCAACTAAGCCCGTGTGCCACAACTACTGAGCCTGCACTCTAGAGCCCGCAAGCCACAACTACTGAGCCCACACGCCTAGAGCCCGTGCTCCACGACAAGAGAAGCCACCGCAATGAGAAGCCCGCGCACCACAACGAAGAGTAGCCCCCGCTTGCTGCAACTAGAGAAAGCCACGTGCAGCAACAAAGACCCAACAACGAAGACCCAATGCAGCCAAAAATAAAAATAAATAAATAAATAAATAGATTAAACATTGCTGAAACTTAAGGCAAAGTCTAAGAAGTCTTTATGACGTATATTCTTTTTTTTTTGCAACTAAAACAGGATTTTTAAAATTGTGGTAAAATGTGCATGACATGAAGTTTTCCACCTTAGCTATTTTTAAGTGGCACTAAGTACCTTCACATTGTTGTGCGACCGTCACTACCATCCACCTCCAGAACTTTCTCATCTTCCCAAAGTGAAGCTGTGTCCCCAGGAAACACTGGCTCCCCAGCCCGTTAACCACTGTCTGTCTCTGTGAATTTGTTTGGTGTAGGGACCTCGTATAAGTGGACTCATACACTATTTGTCTTTTTGTGTCTGGCTGTATTCTTTATTTTAGATAACTTATTGATAACTTTTTTATTCTATGAGTGACACATATCTGTTTTGCAAAATATAGGAAATACATAAACCAAAGGAAGAAAATAAACGTCACCTTTAAGTTCTACTCAGATAACCACTAACTTTTTTTATCTTTTAGAGAGAGAGAGACATTATAATTTGTTGTCTGCTTTTCACTTAGCAGGGTATCATGAATATCTTTCCGTGTCCTTAAATATTTTCTGTGTAACCATTTCTCTTCCGCCTCTCTTCCGGGGATCGCCTCATAATTTTTTATAGTTTTTTTAGTTGAAGTGTAGTTGATTTACAGGGTTTCAGGTGTACAGCAAAATGGTTCAGTTATACATGTACAGATATATATATATTCTTTTTCAGATTCTTTTCCATTATAGTTACTACAATATACTGAGTGTAGTTTCCTGTGCTATACCATAGGTCCTTGTTGTTTATTTTATATATAGTAGTATGTGTCTGTCAGTCCCAAACTCCTAATTTATGCCTCTCCCTTTCCTTTCTGGTAACCGTAAGCTTGTTGTCTATGTCTGTGAGTCTATTTCTGTTTCGTAAATAAGTTCATTTGTATCATTTTTTTACATTCCACATATAAGTGATGTCATATGATATTTGTCCTTCTGTTTGTGACTTACTTCACTTAGTGTGTTGATTTCTAGGTCCATCCACGTTGCTGCAAATGGCATTATTTCATTCTTTTTTATGGCTGAGTAGTATTCCATTGTATACGTGCACCACAGCTTCTTTATCCACTCCTCCATCGATGGACATTTAAGTTGCTTCCATGTCTTGGCTATTGTAAATTGTGCTGCTGTGAACATTGGGATGCATGTGTCTTTTCGAATTAGAGTTTTCTCCAGGTATATCAGAGGCATCGTAATTTAATGAACAGTCTCCTTCCTGTTCTCGTGCAGTCAGGTTCCAAGGTCTGTCTGTGTGCCCCTGACTTCACCGTCCTGAATGGTGGCTCCTTGGCGTTTGGCCTGGTGTCTGTGGAGCAGGTCTGCCTGTGAGCAGCTCACTGACCAGGCATCTCTTCTTTTTCCAGGATGACAGAGCTTTTCAGTTTGATTGACACCATGTGGCCTCCAGTGGCGCCTCTGAAAGCACCAGGCCATGGGCCAGCCTTCGAGGTAAGCCCAGCATTGCAGCATCCCCCAACCCCACACCCCCCATCGCACCTGCTCTGTGGCCACCAGGCGCTGAGCCAGTGCCAGCCCACAGTGCACATCCCCAAGAAGCCCAGGTCCAGAGGGTAGGAGCCGGTACAGAGATCCAGACCCACTCGCCTCGCTCACAGGCTGCGGCCTGGCTGCCTTCCACACGGTGCCGCACGCATGCCTCCTGAGGTTACTTTACGCGACGCCTCTCGACCCCCATCGTCAAGGGCCACTGTGCACTGAGGGTCTCAGCCTCGCACCGAACAAGAAGCAGATGGCTTCCCCGCCACCTTCCTGTCAGTAGTAGAACCAACACTTAGTCACCAATTTGAGCAAAAACTCAGTAAACAAAACCATGGGTATCGGTTCAGCCGCCAGCTCAGCCAGGGGTTTCCCTTTCCTTCCTCATCACATTGCTTATGGCAGCCAGTTGCTCACAGGTAGCAAAATCGAGCGATGAAAATGTGCCCCTGCTCCCCGCCCCAAGCCCTGTCCAGCGGGCTGGCAGCGGCTGCTTTGGGCTTTAGTCCCCAAGCTGAGAACTGGGGCTGCCGTGCTTGTGTGGTAGCTGACTTCCTAGCACAGGCCGAGACAGTGGCTCTGTCCTGTGCTAGACCAGCAGCCTAGTGGTCAGGAATGCCATTTCTAGATTACTTCCAGGAAAGAAGTTTCTAAATGGTGTCTTCAGTGTACTCTGAAGAATAAACTTCTAAAATGAAGTCTTGAGTTGGTAATAAACTCAAAAGCACAGACGTTCTTATGCTTGTTTCCAGAGAGAAACAACATAACCCGTCTCTTACAGAGCCTTCCAGAGAAACAGCCTGCATCTGTGAATAAAGAGGTCTTTATTAAAGAGTAGATTTATATTAATAGTGTATTTGAGTCTTTTAACAATACATTCGCCTTCATTTTAAACAGGAAAAAACTCATCTGCCTCCTCCTAGCTTCTGTTACATCCTCACTGCTCATCCAAACCTGGGACAAATTGATGCAATTGAAGAAGACTCTATTTCGAAGCTTTACCAGCCTCCGATTCCCCGCTCCTTAAGAGAAATTCTCCAGGTGGCGTCTTTGTTTGTACCCTGGTCTCAGTTACTTTGCTGTGTCCGTGAGCTTGGGGAGACATTCCTCTCTGTTTTCAATACCTTTCCAGACTGATGGCCCCTGTACCCGTTGCAGTTTCTATGCCAGAGTGATTTACCAAAGACCACAGGTAATCCATCTCTCTTTTCTCAAATCGTGTTGCGAAACTGCTGCAGTACCAAAAGAGAAAAACACTGTTGAACTTGAGCTGTGTGCACTCTGCTGACACGGTGGTCAGTCCATTCCTTGTGCAGGTGGGGCTGCCGCCCCTGGTGAAGCGCTGGGTGTGCAGCCGCCAGGGGGAACCCGCCCGGCTCTCAGACCAGGCATGTCGACCCCTTTCTGACACAGGCAGGCTGTAGAAAGGAAGGAGCAGCTGAAGCCTCCTTTCCGGGGTGAAAGTAGGAGTCTCAGGATGGAGCTCAGCCATTTCTAAGGTCTCTTTCTTCCACAGTCGAGAGGAGCCTGTGGTCGCTGGGAGGCCTTAGGCAGCTCTCTGGGGCAGCACCCAAGTCAGAGGGCCGAGGCCAGGGGAGGGGTGCTCTCGGCCCACGAGTGCATACCCTCAGTCCTGCAGGAGCCTCCACTGGACCTTAACTCAGAGCTGGACAGCCGCGTGTCACAGCCACTCCCTGTTCGCTTGTAGGCACTTGAGAGAGAATCAGCACTGTCCCAGAACTCGACGGCTCTCATCTTCCTCCCTGTAACTTTCTCTAACTTCCTGTGTGTAATCACCCTCTCAGCCACGTGAGCACTCTCCCCCACCCAAGTCACAGCTCCTGACCGTGCCGCCACCTCCTCCGCCCGGTCGTGTCAGCCGCCATGCCATGTGGGATCCGTAGCCTTCCTACAGGGGCCATCCCAGCCAAACCCTTGTCCCCATTTGCATCTACTGGATCCTAATGGCAGAGTGGCATTATGTCCTAATCACCTCCCGAAGGCCCCATCTCCCATTACCATCACATCACGTTGGAGTGTAGGACTCCAACATATGAACTGGTGGGGCGGGGAGAGGCAGAGGAGGGGGGACATAAACATTCAGTTCGTAACTATTCCTAACCCTTGGGAAGCTTGTATCTAGCAGGAGAGAAGAGTGTGTGTGCTGACGGTAAGGCAGTGTGATGATATGTGAACACGTGGCATTGGGAGGAAGTGCATGGCTTCTTCCTGGTGGGTCAGAGGGCAAGCAGAGTGGAGCCAGGGATGGGCAGGTCTCCCCCTGCAAAGGAGCCCTTAAACCAGCTGCAAGGTGGGAGCTCACAGGGCTCAGCCGTGTCCTGGGGGCTGCTGACCAAGACACACAAAGGCTATTGCATGTTTTGAAATACTTATTGAAATGATATCAGAAATTGTTAGTGTTAATAATAATCATCTAAGATTATTGCTTTTAAAAAATAATTTTGGCTCTAAGAAAAGCTTCTAAGTTAACAGCCTGACTGTGTCTTTGAATTATAGGTAAACAGTTCGCTTCTGGAGCCAAGGGAGCTGTGGCTGGTGGTGACCGATGTTACTCTGCAAACACAGGACGAGGGCTCGGGTCTCCCCAAAACCATGCCTGTGCGCGTGGCCCCCTCATGCGTGCTGGGCCAGGAAGTCCGGGACACGCTCTCTGAGGCCACCTCCAAGAGCTTCTTCTTCAGGGATGCTCTCCGAGACCAGGGTATGCTTTCCTCTTACTGACGGCTCTGATGTGGTGACTGAGAGATGCCAGAAAATGGCTTTGTGGATTCTTGATGCCTCTGTCTTGCTCTGGAAATGCAGGCCCCATTCCGAAGTCCACTGCGGACAAGACCCCTGTGATGGCCACATGGACAGAACCAGAACCCCCTGCATGCAGTGCCGGCACAGCAGCAGGAGATGCCAGTGGTCACTCAAGGGTGGTCTGTTGGGGTCACACTTTACAGGTGCAGAAGCCACCTGAAGCCACTGCCTGGCGCATCACTTTTTAAAACAAATGAAAAGCTAGAACATTTAAACACGTGCTTTCGTCCCTCAGTATCCACCCCTCTGCGGACAGCAAGACCTGCAGGTGCTCAGGTCCCTTCTGTAAAATGGTGGTATCTGCATATGAGCTGCACACATCCTCCCTTTTTTTTTTTTAAAAATAAATTTATTTATTTATTTTTGGCTGTGTTGGGTCTTCGTTGCTGTGCATGGGCTTTCTCTAGTTGCGGCGAGCGGGGGCTACTCTTTGTTGGCATGAGTGGGCTTCTCATTGCGGTGGCTTCTCTTGTTGTGGAGCACGGGCTTTAGTAGTTGTGGCACATGGGCTCAGTAGTTGCAGCACACGGGCTCTAGAGTGCAGGCTCAGTAGTTGTGACCCACGGGCTTAGTTGCTCTGCGGCTTGTGGGATCTTCCCGGCCCAGGGCTCGAACCCGTGTCCCCTGCATTGGCAGGCAGATTCTTAACCACTGCGCCACCAGGGAAGCCCTCGCACTTTAAATCTTCTCCAGATCACTTACGATACCTAATACGATGTCAGTGCTGTGTAAATACTTGCCGGTGTGCAGCAAATTCAGATTTTGCTTTCTGGAACTTTTTTTCCAAATATTTTCCATCCACCGTTGTTTGAATCCGTGCTAGTTTGAATCTGCAGATGCAGAACCTGCAGATACAGAGACCTAACTGTATGCTTAGATTAGTCAGTACTTTTTTCCAGGAATCAAAGTAGGATCCTGCCTAGACTGTATATTTTTCAGTGTATATAACTTGCATGACACAGGATTTGCCTTTATGAATGGAATTTGAACGCAGTGTTTGTGTGCTCTTACAGCTTAGTGCACAAGGCTTTGGGCTTCCTTTCTGCACGGTGCCGTGTCTCTGGACACACAGGGGCCGCACAGTGGTGCCCTTGGCTCCCCCAGTCCCCCCAGCTCCCAGGTGGCTGGCAGGGGACACATCTCTATTGGCAGGAGAACTCACTTGTTTCAAACCTCAGAGCTGCAATAATCTGAAGTGTCTCTGTTGGCAGGTCAGCTTGTTTGTATTGGACGAACTGTCCTCCTGCTTCCAAAGCCCCACCTGGGTGTGGCCTCTGGTGTCTGGGAGCTGACGAGCCCTGTGAGGCTGGATGAGCTGGATTCTGTCACTCGGGTCAACTCCATTTGCAGCGTCCAAGGTGGGTAGTCGATTTTGATGGAAGAGTTATTTGTATTTCCTTAAGTATCACACTTACCTTATATTCATTTGCTCATTTGTTCATCGAGTATTTGTTGCGTGCCTGACATTGGATGCGTGACAAAGACGCGACCAGAGACAGGACGGCAGCCTTGCGTGCTCCGAGTGCCTGTCGCCAGGACCTCACCTGTAGGAGGCACGGACAGGAGCCCTGAGCCGAGATGGCAGGGGAGGGGGGGCTGGTCAGGTGCAGGGTGGGGGCAGGAGGAGAGCAGGGCTTACAAAGGCTGCTGACAGGGCAAGTGGATAAGCGCCAGAGTCTGGGAAGAGGCTGCAGGGGCATCTGGAGGGGCCGGAGGGGCTGCGGCCTCAGGTGGCACCCAGGGTGGGGGGTGAAACAGGGCAAGGAAGTAGATCTGCAGGTGGATTAGTCAGGAGGGAAACTGACAGGTAGGGTAACAAATTCAGTACAGGGGAGCGAGACATGGACGGAGGGCAGGAATGTCTGTGAAAGCAATTTGCTGAATTAATTTCCAAAAAGTACAGAAATTCCAAAAGTAACATTGAGGGCCTGTCTCTTCCACCCTTGGACCACTAGATTCCTGAACCCCACTGTGGTTTTTATGAACAGCAAAAGCTGTGATGCCACTGATGCTTGAATCCACAGTCCCTGTGTGCTTGTGAGATTGAGCACGTGTTCATTGTGTTGAGGCCGTTTGGATTTTCCCTTCTTTGCGTTTCCTTTTACCGTTAGTACCGAAACATAACTGCTACAGCCTGGTGGTCCTGAAGAAGTCAGGCTCTGTCACCTGTGTCCGGGTCCCCACTTTCTCATCTCTGCAACAGGGATAACAGGACTGACCCCAAAGCCTTGCTGAGGAGTAAATGAGCTGGTGGCGAAGGCGGACATTCAGTGCTCCGTGCTCCGGACGGCAGGCGGCTGGCTGGGGGCTGGAGGCAGTGACGGCAAGGGTGGGGCGCCAGGGCCCTCAGGATTGCTCTGGCAGAGTTGGTCAAGGCCTTGCAGACAGGAGAGGGCACGTGGAGAACGCCGGGCAGCCGTGAGAGCTTCGTGTGCTGGCGGAGCGGGGCTGTCGTGGGCAGGCTGGCCCTGTGCTGTTCTGCCGTCCCCGGCCGTGTTAACGAGGTGGGATGGTCAGATTTTTGTCTTAAATGAAGCGATTCTTTCAGCACCACGAATGGATCGACTGTGGTGCAAAGCCGGGGCTGGCTGTTGGCAGGAAGATGATTGCGCTGCTCTTTGGAGGAGCACGGGGGAAGGTGGCCACGAGGCTGGAGGCCGAGAGGGCCAAACTCGAGCAGTCTCAGGCAGCCTGTCCACAGCCTGTGGTTTCCAGCTGGCCGCCGAGAGGCTCCCATCCCCTCACCTGTCTCAGAGCGGGGTCGCTCCCGGGCGCAGAGCAGGGAAGGATGAGGAAGCAGCCCCCAAGTGACAGTCCCCACCCCTCCCACTTTGGCTTTAGGAGACCGCAGGCATCGCCACCACCCGAAGCACCATTTTAGGAGAAAGTGCACCTGAAGAGCTGGCTTCCTGAGGAGGGTTTGGAACCTGACCCACTCTTACCTGCAGCCAGGGAGTAAGAAGCACAGAGGTGCAAGCAGAGGAGAATGTGTAGACACTTGTAGGGACAGAGAGAAGACCCGAGTTTTCTGAAGACCCTAATATTTTTTTTGTTTTTTTGTTTTTTGGGGTTTTTTTTGCGGTACGTGGGCCTCTCACTGTCGTGGCCTCTCCCGTTGCGGAGCACAGGCTCCGGATGCGCAGACTCAGCGGCCATGGCTCACGGGTCCAGCTGCTCCGCGGCATGTGGGATCTTCCCGGACCGGAGCACAAAGCCGTGTCCCCTGCATCGGCAGGCGGACTCCCAACCACTGCGCCACCAGGGAAGCCCCTAATATTTTTTAAAAATAATAATTTATAGTGAGATTTACAGAACACAAACTTAACCATTTTAAAGTGAGAAGCTCAGTGGCAGTCCATTTATAGGGTTGTGCAACCACCTCCTATTTTACATTTTGGCTTTTGTCATCTGAGTGGCTTTGAAAACAAAGTGGCAGTCTGTTTTTCAATCACAGTGTCATTGAGATGAAACTCACCCTTTTAAAGTGTACAGCTCGCTGTTTCTAGTGTGTTCACACAGTTGTGCAAGCACACCCACTGACTAGCCCCAGAGAGGAACCCGTGTCTGTCCGCAGTCATGCCCCATCCCCGCCCAGCCCCTGGCTTCTGCTTCCCTACCTTCAGTCTCGTGGACACTCACGCACATGAATCCTGCACTGTGTGCTCCTTGGTTTCTGGCTGCCTTCACTCAGCAGAACATTTTCGAGGCGTTTCTCAGGCTGCGTTCCCTTCTGTGGCTGAGCATTCCATTGTATGGGTAGACCCTGTTTTGTTTAAACATTCATCAGTTGGTGCACGTTTTTTTTGATACTGTGATTCATGCTGCTGTGAATATTCATGTAAGGCCTTTGGGTGGACATGTATTTTCCGCTCTTTGGGTGTATTCCTGTTGTTTCAGATGGTGTTCATGTGGGCCATGATCATAAGTAGAGAGCAGCGGCAGAACCAGGAAGAAGCTGTGCTCCCTCCAGAGAAGGTAACCCTTCCGAGGGACAGAACTGAGGCTGAGATTGGGCCCTCCCGGCGCAGACAGCATGACCACAGGGCAGTGTCGGGAAGCGTGGCCCACGGTGAGAGATCCAGTGTCCACTGTGGCCTCTCTGGAGAAGGGCAGTGTTGATGGAGGGTCTCTGGCCAGCAGCACCCGTGGAGCGACACCTGGGCAGTGGAGGGAGAGCTGGGCCAGCAAAGTCCTCCTCGTGCCCCCAGAGCAGAGCTCTGCGACAGGTCGCATCCCCTGTGCTTCATGTCCTCACCAGCATTTGGTGTTCGCAGGGCTTTAGATTGTCAGCCATTCTGACAGGTGTGTGATGGTGCCTCATTGCTATTTTAGTTTGCGTTTCCCTGACCACATGTGACGTGGAGCGACTTTCACGTGCTCATTTTCCATGTGTATATCTTCTGTGGTGAGGTGTCTGTGAAGCGCTTTGGTCCATTTTTTATTCAGGTTGTTCATTTTCTTATTGAGTTTTAAGAGTTTTTTCATGTGTTTTGGATAACAGCCCTTTGTCAGATAGGTCTTTTGCAAATATTTTTTCCTGTCCTTGGCTTGTCTCTTCATTTTCTTAACAGCATCTGCAGACCAGTTTTAATTTTAATAAGTCCAACATCAACTTGTTTTTTTCATGAATTGTGCTTTTGGTGAATCTAAACACTTGTTGTCTGATCCAAGGTCACCCAGATTTTCTCCTGTTTTCTTCTAGGAGTTGTATAGTTTTGCATTTTACACTTAAGTCTATGATCCATTTTCAGTTAAATTTTGTGAAAGGTGTAAGGTCCTTCTGGATTCATTTTTTTCCCATGTGTTTTGTCAGTTGTTCTGTCACTGTTGAAAAGGCTGTCCTTTCTCTATTGAAATGTCAAAGATCAGTCGACTATATTTATGTGGGTCTATTTCTAGGCTCTCTATTCTGTTGCACTGACTTATTTGTTCTCTCACTGCTACAACACTGTCCTGATTATGGCAGCGCTGGTGTGTGTAGTCCTCCAGCGTGTTCTTCATTATTGTCTTGGCTATTCTAGGTCTTTGTCTCTTCCACATAAACTATAAAATCGGTTTGTTGGGGGCTTCCCTGGTGGCGCAGTGGTTGAGAGTCTGCCTGCCGATGCAGGGGACACGGGTTCGTGCCCCAGTCCGGGAGGATCCCCCATGCTGCGGAGCGGCTGGGCCCGTGAGCCATGGCCGCTGAGCCTGCGCGTCCGGAGCCTGTGCTCCGCAGCGGGAGAGGCCACAGCAGTGAGAGGCCCGCGTACCGCAAAAAAAAAAAAAATCGGTTTATTGGTATCCACAGAATAATTTGCTGGGATTTTGATTGGGATTGTGTTGAATCTGTAGAGCAACTTAGAAAAAATGTACATCTTAACACTGTTGAGTCTTCCTGTATGTAAACATGGAATATCTCACCGTTGATTTCTTTCAGCAGAGTTTTGTACTTTTCCTCATATAGATCTTGTACATATTTTGCTACACTTATACCTAAGTATTTCATTTATTTTAGCTAATGTAAATGGTGTTGTGTGTTTTTAATTTCAAATTCCCTCATTTATTGTTAGTATATAGGAAAGCAGTTGACTTTTGTATTTTAACCTTGTATCCTACAACCTAGCTACAAACATGTTTGTAGTTCTAGATTTTTTTGTTGTTGATTCTTTGGGATATTCTACAGAGAAAACTGTCATCTGTGGACAGGAGAGTGTTTCTCTTCATTCCCGACCTGTATACATTTTATTTCCTTTTCTGGCCTCTGGCATAAACTGGGACTCCCAGCACCAGGTTGCATAGAAGCAGTGAGAGGGGACTTCCTTGCCCTGTTGCTCCTCTTAAGGAGAAAGCATCAACTTTCTTTCTCACCATTAGGTAATGATGTTAGCTGTAGGGGGTTTGTTTGTTTGTTGTCTTTTCTGCTAAAGATAATCTCTTTATTCCACACATTGAAGGAAAAGAACCCTGCTCTTCTCCTACTGCTCTCTTCCTTCCTCTGCAGTTGGTTCTGTGTGTTGCTAAGGTCAATACTGTCCTGTAGCCATAAAGCCTTGCACTTTGTCTACAGGTTGATCCTCAAAGATGAAAATCAATAAATGGTATTTTGGGACTTCCCTTGGTGGTCTGGTGGTTAAGACTTTGCCTTCCAGTGCAAGGGGTGTGGGTTCAGTCCCTGGTGGGGGAGCTAAGATCCCACATGCCTCACTGCCAAAAAAACAAAACGTAAATCAGAAGCAATATTGTAACAAATTAAATAATGACTTTAAAAATGGTCCACATGAAAAAAATCTTTAAAAATGGTATTTTCATTATTATGATTATATAAACACTTTTAGCTGAACTAGTCTACACACTCCAGTTCCTTTCTTCTACGGTTTTCTTCATGGAGCTTTGCGTTGACTTTTATTTTCCTAGCACTGCCTGCCCTACACCCTGATTTTCTCCCAAATTCTCAAAAAACGGTGACAAATCTTTGGAGTTATCCTTTTCCTTTGTAATCTCCCTCCTGGAGCCTTCTGTCCCTCTGAACCAATCTTGACTAGTTGCTCTGTTGTCAGCTATTGTCCTGGGCCTCCCTTCTATTTATCTTTAGGTTCGATTCATTCTTTCCTAAATCACATAACTTCTTTATTGGTTTATTCTGTCTGTAGGTTTTTTGTAAATTTCTTTACCAAGTTGTGGAAACCCCCTCTAGGCTACTGAGGGTTTTTATCATGAATGGGTGTTGGATTTTGTCCAGCACTTTTTCTGCATCTATTGATATGATCATATGATTTTTCTTTAGTCTGTTGATATGATAAATTACAGTAATTGATTTTTTAAATACTGAACCAGCCTTATAAACCTGTAATAAATCCCATTTGGTCATGGTATAATCCTTTTTTTATATAGTTGGATTAGATTGCTAATATCTTGTTAAGGGCTTTTGTAACTATGTTCATGAGAGATATTGGTCTGTAGTTTTCCTTTCATGTAATGTCTTTATCTGGATTTGGTACTAGGTGAATGCTGTCCTCAGAGGACGAGTTAGGAAATATTCCTTCTGCTACTATCTTCATGGAAGAAATTATAGAGTATTGGTATAATTCCTTTCTTAAACGTTTGATAGAATTTATCAGTGAACCCATCTGGGCCTGGTGCTTTCTGTTTTGGAAGGTTATGAATTATTGATTCAATTGCTTTAATATAGGCTTACCTTGTTTTATTGAGCTTGGTAGATCCTGCATTTTGCACAAATTGAAGTTTTGTGGCATCCCTGTGTCAAGCAAGTCTTTCAGTGCTATTTTTCAATGGCATTTTGCTCACTTTGTGTCTTGGTGTCACGTTGTGGTAATTTGTGCAGTATTCAGATTTTTCATTATGACTACGCTTGCTGTGGCGATCTGGTCAGTGGCGTTTGATGCTACTGTTACAAAACAGCATGGCTGCTGAAGGCTCAGGTGATGGTCGGCCTAGTTTAGCAATTAAGTATTCTTTAATTAAGTGGGTTTTTTAGACCTAATGTATTTATTGCACACTTAATAGACTACAGTATAGTGTAGACATAACTTTTATATGCACTGGGAACCTCCCAAATTCATGTGACTCGTTTATGGCAGTATTCGCTTTTTTGTGGTGAGTGGTCTTCCGAGCCCACAGTATCTCTGAGGTGTGCCTGTAGGTCTCGGCCTATTCAGATCACTAGTTTCTTCTTGTGGGAGTTTTTGCAGATTGTGTCTTTCAAGGAATTGGTCCATTTCACTTAAGTTATTGAATTTGGGTGCATAGAGTTATTTCTGACATTCCTTTATTATCCTTTTAATTATTCCTTTATTGTCCTTTTATTACTGATCCATGGGATCAGTAATGATGGCCGCTCTTTCATTTCTGATATAAATAATTTGTTTCTTCTCTCTTTTATCCTTGGTTATCCTAGCTAGAAGTTTATTAATTTTTATTGACCTTTTCAAAGAACCAACGTTTGGGTTTCTTGATTTCTTCCTACTGATTTCCTGTTTTCAATGTCATTGATTTCTGCTCTAATTTTTGTTATTGCTTATGTTCTCCCTACTTTGTGTTGTAGTTTGCTTATCTTTTTCTTGTTTCTTAAGATGAAAGCTTAGACTATCTATTTTAGATGTTTTCAAATATTTACATTTAGTGCTGTAAACTTCTCTAAGCACTGCTTTTGCTGCATCCCACAAGTTTTGATGTGTTTTTGTTTTCATTTAGTTCAAGGTATTTTTACATTTCTCTTGAGATTTTTTCTTTGATCCACATGTTATTTAGAAGTGCGTTGTTTAATCTCCAAATATTTGGGGGGTTTCCTTTCTGTTATTGATTTCTGTTTAATTCCATCGTGGTTTAGGAGCATATTTAGTATGATTTTTATACCTTTAAATGTGTTAAGGTGTGTTTTGTGACCCAGGATGTGGTCTGTCTGGATGAATGTCCCATGAGAGCTTGAGAGGAAGGTGTGTCCTTCTCTTGTCGGATGGAGGTGTCTGTAAACATCAGTCAGAACCGGGGAAGGTGCTACTCAGTTCAACTATGTCTTTATGATTTTCTGCCTGTGGATCTGTCGGTCACTGGTAAGGGGACTTGAAGTCTCCAAACACAATATATAAAATACAGCCGTGGGCTTCCCTGGTGGCGCAGTGGTTGAGAGTCCGCCTGCCGATGCAGGGGACGCGGGTTCGTGCCCCAGTCCGGGAGGATCCCACATGCCGCAGAGCGGCTGGGCCTGTGAGCCATGGCCGCTGAGCCTGCGTGTCGGAGCCTGTGCACCGCAATGGGAGAGGACACAATGGTGAGAGGCCCATGTACCGCAAAAAAAAAACAAAAAAAACCAGTAAAATACAGCCATGGGTCTCTTTCTCTCCTCGCAGTTCTGTCAGTTGGCTTCACGTGGTTTTAGCAGCCTGTTGTTAGGCAGACACACATTAAGGACAGATACGTCTCCTGGGAGAACAGACCCCTTTCCCATGAGGTAACGCCCCTCTCGATCCCTGATGCCTTTCCTTGCTCCGAAGTCGGCTGTGTCTGAAATTAATGTAGCTCCAGTTTTCTCTTATTAGCATGAGCATAATATACCTTTTTCTATCCCTTTGCTTTTCATCTCTGTGTGTCTTTGTGTTTGAAGCAGATTTCTTGTAGACACCGTAGAGATGGCTCACAGTTTTTGTCTGCTCTTAAGAGTCTGTTTCTTATATTTAGACCATTCACATTTAAAGTGAATATTTATATCATTGGGTTAAGATCTATCATACGTATATTTGTTTTCTGTTCCTTGCTCTTGTTTCTTTTTTTGTTTTCCATTTTCTTCCTGCCTTTTCTCATCTTTTTCTCCCCCTTGGCTGCACCAGGCGGGATCTTAGTTCCCCGACCAGGGATCAAACCCAGGCCCTCGGCAGTGGAAGTGCCAGGTCCTAACCACTGGATGCCAGGGAAGTCCCTGCCATTTCTCATCTTAACTGAGCATTCTATGTGATTCCATTTTCTCCTCTCAGTATGTCAATTATACTTCTAGAAAAAAATTTTAGTAGTTGCCCTAGAGTTTGCAATGTACACTTAGAACCAGTCAAATCCACTTTCAGATAACACTGCCTGCTTCAGGGTGTAGCCACATTATCAGTCTCTCCCTCAGTCCCTTGTAACAGCTGTCATTCACTTCACTTACAAGGCATAACACTGAACCCATCATTGTTAGAGATCAGTTTAGAACCACAAAGGTTAAAGATTTTACTTTACCCCCATTTATTCCTTTTCCAGTGCCCTTCTTTTCCTTTATGTAGTTCCAATTTCTGACCTGTATCATTTCATTACCTTCATTACCATTTTAACATTGAGCACTCTGTGGGTCTCTCTGAAGCTGTCCTGCAGGCGTGCAGGTGGGTCAGATGGATGTGTACAGACTGTTATCACAGTGCAGCCAGGTCCTCCGAGAAGGCCCAGCTAACTAGGGATTAAGAGAAGACGAAGCCCAGCTGCAAAAACCAGGGATTGGCCCAGCCTCCCACACAGGAGCCACCAGCCAAGGCAGAGGCCATGCAGGAACCAGCTCCCAGATGGACACAGGGACGGGACCCCCTGCCCTCCAGCCAGCCGTGGGCTGGCCCAGACTGGATTCCATCAAATCCAGGATAGCCCCTCAGCCGTGCTGTGCTCTGCCCTGCCCAGCCTGCCCCAGGAGGGGCTCTCAGTTGGCCTCAGGGTCTCCCTCGGCCGCCTGGACCTGGCAGGACAGCAAGCGTGTTCCCTGAGCAGAGCTGGGATGGACGCAGGGAGTGGCCTGTGCGTCAGTCACTCGCTGAGAACCCGCAGCACCTGCCAGGAAGATGTCTCCAGGAGGTGACGGCGCCCACGGCCTCCCTGCCCGAAAGGCGGCTCCAGAGCCGCGGGGACTTCCTCCCAGTCTCTTTTTGGGGACAGCTTTGCAGTTGGTTTTATCTTCCTTGCCCCACTTGACACTTTGTATCTGCCGCTTGCTGGTGGGTGGTGATCTTCCCTGCACTGTGCAGGGGGTGCGGTCACGCAGGGGGCAGAGTCCTGTCCTCAAACCGGGTGTTGACCTTGACCTAGAAGAAGGTCCTGAGCCCCAACTTCTTTCAGCCAGAAAGAAGGGCGGGGACAGTGTGGCAGAGAGCTGGCCACCCACGAAGGATGGGCCGGAGTGCTTCCCATAGGACCCTCAGGAAGGACCTTTCACAAAGTCGTTTTCATAAACATGGGATACACCTTTCCAAGCCTAATTACAAGAGGTTTCTGTAAATGAGACAAAGAATGTAAAGGCTTTTAACAGCAAACTGCAGCAATTTGCCAGATTTCTCAAACCCTAACAACAGTTGTTGTTTTCCTTCTGATGCTTCTTTAAGTGAATGTCCTAGATACTAAAGGTTAATAGTACAATTCCCACCTGTCCCCTGGGTTGCCAGAAGGGATTGCCAGTGGTGTGGAGACCCCAGATGAAATGTATTTCCTCAGACTGTGCCTCGTTCCCTAATTGGAAGGAAATTGCTTAATCCCATGTAAGTGTAAATGCTGTTAACACCCAAAGATATTCTAGGGTAAAGGAAACTGTGGTTTGTAGCAGTCTTCTTTTTCTTAATTCATTTAGCAGACCTGCCAAGGACTGTGTGAGCCTCTGTGCTGACACCCCCTGGGGTGGGAGCCCTCCCCGCAACCTGGACTCTTGACATTCATGAAGATACACCTTCGGCTGTATTATAAGCTCTTATTGGCTTAACTTTTCATTGCTTTGACTCAATCTTGATTAGATTTGCAAGAACAATGAAATTAGCTGGGCAGCCTTTTAAAAATCAAGCTGTATTATTTTCATTTTGCAAAAGCCATTCAAGGATGCATTGCATGAATGCATTTTGATAAATTGAGCCTACTTAGTTCTCATCATTCTGTTTTATCCTCTACAAATAAATTTTCTCCTAATGTTTGTTCTAGTGGAGAATGAAATTCTTTGCTCCAAGAGTGTGAAGGATGACTCTTCTATCTTTCTGGAAACCTAGGTCACATCTTACTTTTTTTAAAATGTCTAATTTCACCACTTTTCAACAAGGATGGTCTGTGATTTGCAGTGAATCTTGATGGTATGTACAATGCTTCACATTCCAAGAAAATCAGACCAACTCAGTCCCCTGTTTAAAATTCCTTTCTGTCTCATCCCTTCCAAGACCAAGTCTGGAATTCCCAGCGAGACCCTGGATGGTCCTGGCCTGCCAGCCTGCGGACTTCACAGCAGTCTCTCCTGCCTCTTCTTTCTGCCTGTTTGGCCTCCAGCCCCACCTCAGGGTGAAGAGTGGGCCTGTGCCTCTCCCTACGTGCAGCCCCTCCTCGGGTCCATTCTTTCGGGAAGTCTTCCCTGACACTTAGGCCAGCCTAGAGGCCTCTCTTTTGCATCTCTGAGGGGTCTTTTCCATTTCTCAATTTAGCATTTATTTCATGGTTTTCTTTAATAAACTGATTTTTTTTAGAGCAGTTTTGGGTTCACAGCAAAACCGAGCAGAAGGTACAGAGCTTTTCCGCGTTCCCCAACCCCCATACACACACAGCCTCGCCCGCTGTCAGCATCCCCTCTGGATAGTTGATGACCGTGATCGACACGCCATCATCATCCAGAGTCCATAGTTTACAGCAGGGTTCACTCTTGGTGTTGTCATTTTATGGATTTAGACACACTTCGGACATGTAGCCATCATTACAGCATCATACAGAACAGTTTCCCTGGCCTAAAACCCTCTGCGCTCCACCTCCTCAGCCCTCTCTCCCGCTTGATACCCGGAAACCACTGATCTTTTCACCATCTGTATAGCTTTGCTTTTTCCAGTATGTCCTATAGTTGGAATCATACAGTGTGTATGTAGCCTTTTGAGCTTGGCTTTTTTCACTTAGTAATATGCATTTAAGGTCCCTTCATGTCTTTTCATGGCTCAAGAACTCAGTTTTTAAAAATCATTGAATAACATTCCACTTTCTAGATAAACCAGAGCTTATGTATCCATCCAGCTACTGAAGGACATCTTGGTTGCTTCCATGTTTGGTAATCCTGAATAAAGCTGCTGTAAACATCCACGTGCCGGTGTTGATGTGGACACACATTTTCAGCTCCTCTGTGTAAATACCAAGGAGCGAGATTGTTTGATTGTATGGTAAGACTGTGTTTAATTTTGTAAGAAGTTGCCAAACTGTCTTCCAAAGTGGCTGCACCATTTGCGTCCCCACCAGCAATGATGAGAGTTCCTGTTGCTCCACATCCTCACCAGCATTCGGTGCTGTCAGTGTGTGGGCTTTGGCGGTTCTCATAGGTGTGTCGCGGTGTCTCATTGCTGTGTTCATTTGCATTTCCCTCAAGACGTGATGCTGAACATCTTTTCACATGCTTTTCTGCTGTCTCTGTATCTTCTCTGGTGAGGTGTCTGTTCAAGTCTTTGGCCCAATTTTTAATCAGGTTATTCTGATTCTTATTGTTGAGGTTTTTCGTTGTTGTTGTTTTTTGGGGGGTGGGGTGGGGCTGTGCTGCGCGGCATATGGGATCTTAGTTTCCCAACCAGGGCTCAAACCCGTGCTCCCTGTATTGGAAAGAGGATTCTTAACCACTGGACCGCCAGGGAAGTCCCTTTACTGTTGAGTTTTTAAAGTTCTAATATACTTCGGATGGCAGTCCTTGATCAGAGTGTCTTCTGCAGATATTTTCTCCCATATTTCGTGATCTTTTTACTTGTTATTTGTTTATCTGCTTTTCCAGCCTGACTGTGGCGTCCATGAAAGTGTAGATTGTGGCATCTACCCTATGTTCAAAGTGCTATGTGTATATCCCACACTAAAGAGCATTGTATGTATTTGTTTGTTGAATAAATAAACCACAAACGCTGGAGTAAAAAAGAAATGAGGGAACCAGAGAAATCACATAAGAAGAGATACTGACAAACCAATAAGCATATTTCTCTTTCCGTACCGAAGAAGCGGAGCCTAAGCTGTGGAGCTCGAGACTTACCGTCCGGCAGGCGGTGCTGCCTGTGAGCGTCAGTGCAGTGGGCGGGCGTGGGCGGCAGGGGTCGGAGGTTCTGTGGGAAGCGCCTCTGAAAGGGGTTCCGCCATCTCTGTGCTCACGCGCTTGGACGCAGTAACCCCACTCCATGAGCGCATCCTAAGAGAAGGGTCCAGCACGGAAGGAGCCAGGTAGACAAATACCCACCGCCTCGGGCTAGGGCAGTTTGGAGGCCTGGTGTCCAGTCAGGAGAGTGGCCGAGAGAACCGGGACCTAAAGGGACAGCCATGCAGCAGCCTAAGGGCAGGACGAGATGGAGCAGGGATGGGGTGCTCGTCATGGCCTCAGAACATGCACGTTGGAAAAAGGCAAAAACGAAAATACTTGGTTAGTAATATGCCTGAGCTTTAAAACCTGCTCTTTGTTGTAATTTTGTGCCATGAATGGAAATTTTAAAAAGCTTAGAAACATTTATATAAACTCACAAATGAGAAGCAAACCTGGGGCACCTCATGTTACCGTCTGTGACCTGAGGGGCAAAGAGAAGTTGGGGGACAGAGCCGCCTCTGAGCCCGGGTCTGCTTCCCTGGGCCTAGGCGCTGTGGTCGCCGTGGACGAGAGCACCGCCTGCTCGTGGCCTGCGTGTGACCTGTGTGGCGGTGAGAGACTGGAACGGAGGCCGGAAGACAGGTAGGGGCAGCAGCAGCAGCAGCCCGGGACCCCATTGCCTTGTGCCTCGGGCCAGGGGCCGGGCCCAGGGCACACGGAGGAGGCCGGGCGCCGTGTTTTCTCTCCTCACGACTGGGGTTCTGCGGTTCCCCGAGGCTCTTCCTGTCTTAAAAGAGAGAAGAGCCAGGTTTCCTCAGCTTCTTTGTTATCAGGCGGGAGAATAAGAACTCGGGGCTAACACGAATGTGAGACACACTTGGTGACGGCACAGCCGACCTCTGCAAGCAGACATCCCTGCCCAGCCTTACCGCCGCCCACCCCAGGGCCCGTCCTCGGCGCCAGTCCTCCGGCCCCCCCGTGACTGTCGGAGGCACGTGCACAGGGCGTGTCATCACGTTCCTGCTTCTTGACGCCTCACAGGTGGTGGCCTGGACAGGCCTTCCTTGGAAGCAGGAAGGAGCAGAGACACTGGTGGTGGGAGCAGGTTTGCCGTCCGGCCCTTCCCCTTGTTGGCTGCTTGGCTCAGCCGGGGGGGCCCCCACGCTGGGCGCTGCGACCGCGGAGCCCAGGCTGCTTGGGGCCTGTTCCAGGAGCCGGGTTTCTGAGCCCCCCCCCCCCGCCCCCGCTAACATGGCAGACGGACACTCACTCACGTGCAGGAAATGTCTGTGTGTCTGCCCGCTGCCAGGCTCCCACGCTCTGTGCCTTCTTGTTTCCAAACAACAGGGGCGCCTTCTCCTGTGGGGACTGCTCCCGCGTGGTCACCTCTCCCCTCCTCAGAAGGCACCTGCAGGTCTTCCTGGACTGCCCCTTGCGACCCCAGTGCACAGTGAGGGTCAAGGTAGGAACCGGTGGGAGCTCGTGCATCCGCGTCCACCTACTGTGCGCCCCCTTCACCCGCGGCTGGGCCAGGGCTGCATCTCCTGCTCTTTTCCTGGGAAAGGGGGCAGGGCTCCCCCGAGGGGCCGCAGCCCTCCCCTGTCTGACTTAAGGCTCTGCGATGGAAGCTGGTGGCTTAGAGTCACACGTCAGGTCTCGGTGGGGGATCGTTCCGCGTGAGCGGGGTTGGGGTCCTGACCCCGCCCGTGACTGTTCTTGCAGCTGCTGCAGCACAGTATCTCTTCGCTCCTGAGGTTTGCCGCCTGCGAGGATGGGGTAAGTTGGGGCACCCAGCCCAGGTGCGTGTCCTTACTGTCCTCCCCCGTGTCCCTTGGCTGCAAGGGCCCTCCATGTGCCACGTGCGAGCTGAGAGTCCGGACTCTCCCGAGACTCGGCTAGGCCTTCTGCTCCCTCTTCTGACTCACGCCCGAGTCTGCTAACAAGATCCTTTCCCTTTTGGAATCGAGGTTATTTTCTGATCGGTCTTGCAGTAGACGTACGAATCTGTCCCCCAGCTTTGCTTATGGTAAGTCGGTCTTGAGGTTTCAGGTTAAACCTCCTGCCATGGTTTCACGTTAATAGGACAATTACCTGAGATGCACGTTTTTATAAATTGCTGGGTCTCTAGTCTGAGTGCCTGGAAACTTGACTTTCACTTCTCAGATCTGCCCTGTTACTGTGGTGAGCTTTGTAAAGAGGTGTGAGGTGTGCTCCTCAAAGAAAGCACCACCTGAGCACACATACCTTACCTTTGGTCCTCATAAACGAGAGAGGTCTGTCCTTGTCAGAGCCATTTGAAAGCCCCGCAAGTGGCCTGTGGAATCGCTGAGCCCTGGAGAGAGTGCTGTGTCTGTGCCCTGCTGGGATCCACATCCAGGTGGCAGATATGGGCCAGCTCATGAGACTGTTGTGAAAGGGGAGGCTCACACTTGCAGAACTTTCTGATGGGTTCCCGAAGCGAAATGCCAGCTCTGATGCCAGCCCGAATTTGGAGGCTCCCAGGCTGCTCTCCCGGCCACTTGCCAGTCCTGTCCCAGCCCGTCCTGGGCTTGGGGTGTCGGGGGAGAAGCAGCCCTTAACACTCTTTCATGTGCACCGGATGTCAGAGTTTGGAGTAAATTGGAATGTGGACAAATCTGTGCACAGAACCTTTAAGGATCCCTGGTCTGACTGTGGTTCCAGCTCTGATTCCTGGCCTCGCGCATCTCTTGAGAGCAAGTCAGTGACCCCCGCAGCGCAAACCTTTGTACAGGGGGCTGCTGCGCGGTGGGGATTGATGTTTGAACCCTGCTGTAGGAGGGCTTATAGACACATGTGCCTGACTGTATGACAGTCCGTGTCAGTAAGCGTGTGTGATGCCCGGGCACCGTGCTGCCCGCTGTCCCCATGCTGCCTCACCTCCTCCCCAGCATCCCCGTGGGCGCAGCCCATGCTGCCCGGGAGGCGTCGGGGTAGGCCCGCGGTACGCTCCCTGCCGGATTCAGAGACACTGCAGAGCGGGGCCATTGCTCTGCTCACCACCCGCAGGGTAGGGCCCGCAGGGGCCTTGTGTGTGTTGCGCTCTCGTGGAGTCCTGCGTTTCACGGGTGGCGAGGCCGCGGTTCCTGGGACTGCGGGTGCTTAGGTGAGGCCGACGGAGTGGGTTCCAAGGTGGGGCTGCAAACAGGCACTAAAGCCGGCAGATCCGGGTCATCGGAGAACACGTTCCTCTGGAGGATGCTGGGGGAGTGCTGCTTAAGGAGAACAGAACAAAACGAACCCAGCAGAGCGCATGGCTGAACGCCTGGGGACAGCACCCAGAGCACCTGCCGGCCCTGCGGTTACTCAGGCGCCTGCCTCCCCTGGGCCCCCGGCTCCCAGGAGGGTGGCCCTCAGCCACCTGCTCCATCCAGGGACCTGGCAGGAACCTGCGTTCACGTGTCGCTTCGGGTGGAGGCAGGCTGTGCCTCCCCCACAGTAAACTCCCGCTGCTCCTAGAGACACAAGAGGCGGGCGTGCAGCCCAGTTGGCAAGCGCCTCGGTGACCCTGCGTGGCTGCTCTGCTGTCAGAGGCGAGGCCGGTAGGACTGGGGGGCGCTGAACTCCTAACCCCCCACTACCGCCCCCCGGTCTATGGCCGGTGGATTCTCAGGCTTTACGCTGACCTGGAGGGAAGCGGACACCTTCCTTCCTACCTGTAGGAGACCTCCCGGGGGCATCGGCCACGAGGCTCATCTGGATTCTGTCGGTTTTCAGGGTGAGAAGGTACATTCGCCAAAATCCAGAGAATCAGATGAGGACTTTACACGAGAACCGCGGCTCCACTCCCGGAACAAAATGTGCCGCTTCCGGGCCGGCACACACACGTGCCTTTAAAATAGAGGCACATTTTACACATGCGCGTTCTTATGACTGGCACATGTGAGTTTACTGGTGTGATTGTTTTAACTTCTCCGTCTTAACTTCCCCCAAATATAATGTATAGTGTAATGTCCATTTATAAACGAGACAGTTATTATCGAAAACTGTAGCTGCCAACCCTGACACTTTAAAAAGAGGGTTTCTGCGGACTTTTCTTCCAACGCCAAGGCCTGTGCTCGTACCCAGCCGCCTGGGCCCACACCCACGCGCAGGTGCAGCCCTCAGAGCCGACACAGCGCATCCAGCATCACGGCGTCCTCCCGGCCCTGGGTGGGGACTGCCCTCCCAGGTGTCACTGTCGCCTTCCTGCTGTCGTGGGCTCCATAGAAGCCCTGGGAGTGACCTTGACGTCTTGGCCGCGGGAGGCCTCCCCACTGTCCAGTCGCATCCTCTCCTTCCCTCTCTCTGCCTGCCTGGACCGACGACTCTCAACCCTGCTTTACCTGGCGTGCCACCAGGAAAGCCGCAGCTCCCTGCGAGCCACGGTGGGGAGGCCGTGCCTGTCTCGTAGGCGGGAAGACAGCCACGGCAGTGAGCTGGCTTTAGGGCAGCGTCCACATCCCAGACCGATCTGGACACTTACTGCTTCAGAATGAGCCGTCTCAAGGCTTGGTGCTTCCACACCGACTCTGCACACAGACCTGCAGTCTGGACGAGGCTCCATGGGGCAGCAGCTGGTGCCCCAAAGCTGGGCTGGTGTCCCAGGAGGCCCTTCAGTCCCCGGCTGGCTGCTGTGCTCCTGTCGGCTGGGACCTTCCCGGGCTCTGGCCAGACATCCACACGGCCTGGACGCCCTCACAGCATGTGACTGGGTCCCGAGCCGGGCAGAAGATGGGCCCCGGTCCTGACAGAGCCTGGGACACACTCAGTGCCCCTCCCCTCCCACTCTGTTCACGAGAAGCCAGTTGGCCTCCCAGCCTGGACCCAGGGGGAGGGCAGCGAGGTGCCTGTCAAGGAGCTACAGACGTGCCAGCTTTGGCCATGTTGTCTGACACCCGCCCGCCCCCCCCGAGTCCCCTCTGCCAAGACACTAATGGTGGAGGGGCGAGTTAGCAGTGAGCTCAGTCGCCACAGACGCCTGTCAAGTGTCTGGCACAGAGGAGGGCTGAGAGGTACTCCTGACGTTACTCTGCAAGTGGCAGCAAAGGAATTTCCGAAAGAACACGTGACCTTCTAGGGCTTCAGTCTCCAAAGACCAATAAACCTCTATTTTCAGCCCCACCCCCAAAAGAAACTGTTCTGAGGTGTGATCCACGGAGACCAGGAGGGCACAGCCCACCTTCCCAGCCTGCTCACCTGGGGCCCCTGCCGCCCGTGGTTCTACATTCCCATGTAGAGATGAAACTTGCCCACAATTCACCAGTTCCCTAAGACAATTCATCCAACAATGTGAAGGAAAGGCTTTCTGTGGCATAGGAAGAGGTGTTCAGCTCAGCGCAACTCTGGGAGAAATGGGATCCTGTTAACGAGGGAAGTTTGGGGCAAAGGAAGTCCTTCGACCAGAAGTGTTGCTCAAGCGGGGAAGTGGGATGCAGCAGCAGGCGTGATGTGTGCCTCCTGCTGGGATGCAGGCCATGGCCCTTCCCATGTGTTTCCCCCCCCAGTTTCTCCTAGGACAGCCAGCTGGGAGATGCACATCCTTGCACCCACTAACAAACATCGATCACAGATACTTTTAATGTTCTTGTGTAAAAACTAGCTCGGGGGCTTCCCTGGTGGCGCAGTGGTTGGGAATCCGCCTGCCGATGTGGGGGACACGGGTTCGTGCCCCGGTCCGGGAAGATCCCACATGCCCCGGAGCGGCTGGGCCCGTGAGCCATGGCCGCTGAGCCTGCGCGTCCAGAGCCTGTGCTCCGCAACGGGAGAGGCCACAACAGTGAGAGGCCTGCGTACCGCACACACACACAAAAAAATAATCGGCTACCAGAAAAAAGCACTTCCTTCCTTTGCTTTTGCTGCAGCCTGTTCTCTCCTCTGGAGAGGGCTGGAGAGGGGTCATGGGCCGGGGAAGGGCCTTATGCTCTGTCTTTGGTGTCCTGAGCCGATGGGCACAGCAGGCCCAGGGGCTGTTTGCTTTAACCAGCCTGCCTCTTATCCCTGCAGAGTTACGAGGTGAGGAGTGTCCTTGGAAAGGAGGTGGGGCCGATAACCTGTTTCGTCAGGTCCATCACCACCCGCCCGGCCAGCTGCGTGGGATTGGAGGAGGTGGAACTCCTGAGCGAGGGGGGAGCCTCTTCAGCACACCGGTGGCAGCCGCAGGATCCGTGAACTTTACAAAGTGGCTGCCAGTGGTGGTGGTTCGGTAGTTATTTGTTAACTCTAGGCAGAGTGAATGTACTTTATGATCTTGAAGTGGAACTTCGATTGGGGCCAATGTTAGTAAAATGGCTTTGTAAACTGTAAATCAAAGTACTTCCTTCTGCGATGATATATATTTTTATTGCCTTTCTGCAAATTTAGGAACACGATAGAGCTTAAATAAGCTTGAGGTTTTCATTTTGTATTTACCTTAGACAATAATATAGTAGAAAAAGTTATTTTGTTCTACTGTAATTCTAAAGTGTTCAAATTTTACAATGATTCAACGTGTTTTTCTTATATTTCTTTTAACATTTCCCCAAAGAATTACCCTGCCGAGTGTAAACCTTTGTCCTCTGTCGTCATATTACTGCTCTGCACAGTGTCCAGCCTAAGCGTTCTGCAGCTCAGTATTTTTTGGAAAATGTTCTGGGGAACTATGTCAGAGGTAAACTGTTTCCCATAAAGTAGAGATAAAGTGACTGGCCTGATGGTAGCTCCTTACAGAGAGACTGACAGGTCTGGTTAGTCCTGCCGGGCACTGCGCCAGGACTACGCTGCCGCAGGAGAGCTGGGGAATCGCTCTCCTTGTTGGCAGAGATCTGAGTTAAAACTAAAACCACGGATTAATCTGGACACTAAAGATTTCGCGTTTCCTCCCTTATGACAGTGTAATAATGACAGGCCACGGTTAACTAATTACATAATATAGACGTAGCAGCCAAGACCAAGGGAGGCTGCCTAGTACCCACTCTCATGGGGGAAAGGCAACGGCTTTATTTATTCGTCCAGATTCAGCTTTGAAGCATTACCAGTACCGGGAAGGTAGGCGATTTTAAGTAGCTTTGTGACCGTCCTTTCCATCTCCTATATGACTTCTGTACTTTATGCACTTTGAAAATCTACTTGAAGCTGTCTACAGGACTGAGGAAAGCGAAAGCAAATCCCATGAAAGCCAGAATGAGTGGGACTGGTTTTCGGATAACCTGAGCCCTCCTCTCCTTGCCCCCGACTCGAGGTGGGACCCGCTCCGGCCGGTTTCCGACACGTTCCCGGGGCGCCTTCCACCCGAGCGGGTCTCGCTCGGCAAGTTAACCGGCACGTCCGCAGGTGGGGTTTGGCCTGTTGGAGAAGCAAAGCGACGGTCCTTCCAGGAACCCGGCCCCGGGGCGCACACCAGCCAGACGCGCCCTCGCGCCCTCCCCGGCCAGTCCGGAGGGCCGCGAGCGCAGGAATCAAGGTGGGTCTAACACGCCTTTATTCTTACAAATACTGTAAAAATCAGTATAAAAAAGTGAGCATGCTCAGTCTTTTCCTCGTATCTACAGTACAAAGGTTTGTCCGAAAAGTCTCTTTAACGAATGTACCTTAGCTGCCTCCTCGGGCGTAGGATGCAGAGAAGCTGCCGTCACAGTAACTTAGGGTCCACGCGGCAGCTGTCCGAGTCCCGGCCCCGCCCGGGGGTCCGGCCCGGCGGTTCCAGGCACTGCGGCCGCAGCCCGCACGCCCCCCGCGTCACCGCGCGTCCGCCGCCCCCGCGCCGGGCAAAAAGGGCGCGCCGGGCAGCTGCTTGAAGAAGCGCCGCAGACCGGCCAGGTCCCGCGTGAGCTGCTCCACGCGCTGCTGTAGCTTCTCGTTCTCGGCCGAAAGCTCCACCAGCTTCTGCTGCATCTCCTGGTTGCGCCGCTTAGCCTTGTCGCGGCTCTTGCGCACGGCGATGTTGTTGCGCTCCCGCCGCTGCCGGTACTCGGGGCTGCCGCGGTCCGGGCCCCGCTTGCCCGCTGCCTTGTCGCGCGCCGCCCCAGGAGCTGGGGGCGCGGGGCTGCGGCGCGGCGGCTCGGGCGACGCGGGCGGAGTGGGCTGCGCGGCGGCCGCCAGGCTCACCACCGTCTGGGCGCACGCGGCCACCTGCGCGGGCAGCAGCGAGCCGGGCGCGTCGCCGTCGCCCCAGTCGGGCTCGCGCTTGAGCGGTCGCGGCGCGGGGCCGGGGCCCGCGGGGCGCGCGGGGCCCCCGGGCAGCAGCTCCAGGGCGCCCGCCTTGTGGTTGCTGTTGAAGAGGTCGGCGAAGAGCTCATCGTGGCACAGCTCCAGGGTGGGCACGGCGGCCATGGAGTCGATGTAGGCGCTGAAGTCGATAGCGCTCTCGTCGTCGTACATGGCGGGCGCGGCCGGCTCGGCTCCGCGACCCAGCTTCCCTGCGCGGCCGGGCTCGTAGAAGGCGGCGGGCTCCGCAGTCCAGGGCGCGCCGCGCGCCGGGCCGTCCAGGCTGAAGAGCGCGGCGCTCATGGCGGCGTCGGGCCGACGGCGAGCGCGGTCCCCGGGCGGGCCGGGCGCCGCCTTTTCTAGCCGGACTGACGCGCACGCCCCGCCCCGGCCGCGGACCGCGGGACCCCCGCCCGCGCGCCTCCCCCGTGCTTCCTGCCCGCCGGCCCGGCCCGCGCAGCGCTGCCGGGAACGACCCTCCCTCGGCCGCGCCTCCTCCTTCCTGCTGGTGGGTCGGGGCCTCTGCGCCCGCGGAGTCGAGGCGGAACCAGAACGGGGCCCGGGCCAGCGCGCGGACTAGGGCCCGGGGGCGCTCCCCCGCGGCTTCAGGGAATTAGGGTCTCGCGGCTTCCGGATGGCGGGGTTGGAGACGCTGCCCCGCGGGGTTCCGCCGGGTCCGTGGGGCGCTCTCCAACCTCGCGCGCCTAGGGCCGGGGGAAGCCGGGAACCACGAGCGCGCGAGAGCTCCGCGCCCCCGGAAAGCCCACGAACTCCCGGGAGCTCCACACTCAGAGCCCCGGGAGCCCCGCGCCCCCGACGCTGCTTCCAGGGACACTAGACCAGTGCCATCTTGCGGTGATGTCTTACTTCAGCCCTGTCTTTAGTTCTAGGCTTTTTTTTTTATGCTGTTCAGTATTCCAAAAAGAAGTGCCTTTGGATCCAAAGCAGTGGGGTAGGTCCCCTTTAGGAGAAAAATAAGGTTTATACTAGCAGCTCTGACAAGGTGTTAACTTGCTAGCTCTTCACATTGTAAAATGCAGGTAAAGACTGAACTGGCTTTGTTGGTTAACGTTTCCTACAATTTGGGTCAGGCATTTCGGGTCAGTTCTATTTTTCACATCACCGTCCCTGTTCAGACCTGGTCTCTGTCCACATCCTTTCTCATTTCGTTGCTTCCCAACACCAAACGCTCCACAAGCTCCACAGTATTCCAGAGGTGACTTCTGATGACGGCACCATGGGATACTGAATAGGTTTTCTAGAAGGACGGACATAATACGCTAGAATTACTCAGGGGCCGTGATGTGGATGTCACACGATTAATTATCTATTAAAGGTAAAACCCAGGAACACTTAGAGTGTGGTTCATGCACACCCAGAGGAAAGACATATCTATTTTGGAAGCCATAAAAACACTACTAAAGCCCTCCCCGGTCAGGGAATGCAAAATAAATACACAGAGAACCATATTCTCATGAAAATGATTCAGTGAGATGATTAGTAGATTCAGATGTCAAATTGGGATTGAGCTTGAAGGAGATGCTACGCCCATCTTTTTTTCAATGTATTAACTAGTAATGATAATGTTTAGATTTAAGAGTTTTCTTCCCTTTTACTGAAAAAGAGAAAGGAGAGGTCGTAGACCAACAAAGTAGAGATTTGTTATGACGTTTAACGGCAAGTGAAAGACTATTAAAAATACAATAAAACAATTTAAAGTTTAGCTTCTGTGACAGCAGTTGTCCACAGTCATTTCTTGAATGTCTCCACTTACTGTCTTTTCCTAACTCTACTGTTAATTTATCCGAGATAAATACAAAGTTGGTCATGATTCCTCATTGTTAGGAGTCTTGAGCCTGTGTTCTGAGAACTGTCTAAAGGAAGCAGTCAAATAAGAAAGTATTCCTTAAAAACGTCGGAGCCTTGGATTCACCCGTGTTTATGAGGACATTGCTATGTTGAGCTTAGTTGAGTTGTTCAAATGCAGCACTTCACGTGGACTTTCTAAACACATCCGTCCTTTAGAAACTCAGGAGGCTGGATGTGCTCCAGCTGTGGGACACTGTTGGGGTTAGGAAATCGGGCCGGCTCACTCATAACACGAAGGGGCCATACCTCAGTCCTCACGAGGGACCACTTTCGGATGCTTCATACGGTGCAAGATATGGGGCAACAACAGTTCTCCAAATGAAAGTCTGGAACAGTGAAAATGTTTTTGAGCAATGCCAGTGTCAAGAGGAGGGAAATTGTGACTCTAGCGCCCTCTTCAGATGATGATTCTCAACTATCGGATTAGATACTTTGTTCATCTTCTGGCTCAGGAATAATTTTAACTGTATGATATGTTCTCATGTGTTTTGTGTCAGACAATAGTGAGGTTACAAATATAGGCTTTTCAGATAAACCTGATTTCCAGTATTTTGTGTGTGTGTGTGAAAGGAAATATCAGGGCCAAAAGAATAAAGCCCCTGGGTATTAGGGTCACACATCCTTGGCAGTGCTTTATAAAGCCTGTGTATTTTACTAAAAACCTACTGTGATGGGTAGAAAGTTCTGCATTCACTTCAGCCTCTGGAATTTAAGAGACAGATCTCCCAGATTACAAAGTAGCCAGAGCTGAAAACAGTTATTTGATTCTGTGAGTCAGGTGTCCAACCTGCCATACACTTGCGCATGTTCCCAGTAATAAAACACAAGGAGGAGCGATTTGCCTTCCCAGCCTGTTATTCCTGTGAAGTGGATTCAGTCTCTCAGGCACACCTGTCAGCCCTGCCACAGCTCACTGGTATTTTGATAGGAATGGCGCTGAATCTGTAGATTGCCTTGGGTAGTATGGTCATTTTAACAATACTGATTCTTCCAATCTGAGAACAAGGTACATCTTTCCATCTGTTTACGTCATCATCACATTCTTTCATCAACGTCTTACTTTTCAGATTATATGCCTTTTGCCTCCTTAGGTAGGTTTATTCCTAAGTATTTTATTCTTTTTGATGTGATGGTAAATGGGATTGTTTAATTTCTCTGAGATTTCATTGTTAGTGTATAGAACTGTAGCAGATTTCCATATATTTATTTTGTATCCTGTAACTTTACCAGATTCTTTGGTGAACTCTAAGAGTTTTCTGGTGGCATCTTCAGGATTTTCTCTGTATAGCAAATCGTGTCATTAGCAAACAGTGACAGTTTTGATTCTTCCTTTCCTATTTGGATCCTTTCTTTTCTTTTTCTTCTCTGATTGCAGCGGGTAGGACTTCCAAAACTATGTTGAATAAAAGTGGTGAGAGTGGGCATCCTTGTCTTGTTCCTCATCTTAGAGGGAATGCTTTCATATTCTCATAGTTGAGTGTGATGTTAACTGTGGGTTTGTCATATATGGCCTTTATTATGTTGAGGTAGGTTCCCTCTATGCCCGCTTTCTGGACAGTTTTATCATAAATGGGTGTTGAATTTTATCAGAATCTTTTTCTGCATCTACTGAGATGATCGTATGGTTTTTCTTCTTCAATTTGTTAACGCGGTGTACCACGTGGATATTGAAAAATCCTCGTATCCCTGGAATAAATCCCACTTGATCATGGTGTATGATCTTTTTAATATATTGTTGAATATGGTTTGCTGGTATTTTGTTGAGAATTTTTGCATCTGTGTTCATCAGTGATACTGGTTTTGTGATGTCTTTGGTTTTGGTGTCAGGGTGATGGTGACACCATCATAGAATGGGTTCGGAAGTGTTTCTTCCTCTGCAATTGTTTGGAATAGTTTCAGAAGGATAGGTGTCAACTCTTCTCTAAATGTTTGGTAGAATTTGCCTGTGAAGCCATCTGGTCCTGGACTTATTTGTTGGGAGTTTTTATTTTTTATTTATTCATTTTCTTAAATCTATTTTTTTGGCTGCATTGGGTCTTTGTTGCTGTGCTAGGGCTTTCTCTAGTTGCAGCGAGCGGGGGCTACTGTTCATTGCAGTGTGCAGGCTTGTGGTGGCTTCTCTTGTTGTGGAACATGGGCTCTAGGTGCATGGGCTTCAGTAGTTGCAGCATGCGGGCTCAGTAGTTGTGGCACGTGGGCCTTAGAGTGCGTGAGCTTCATTAGTCGTGGTGCCTGGGCTCTAGGGCGTGTGGGCTTTAGTAGTTGTGGCTCACGGGCTCTAGAACACAGGCTCAGTAGTTGTGGCGCACGGGCTTAGTTGCTCCGTGGCATGTGGGCTCTTCCCGGATGAGGGATCGAACCCGTGTCCCCTGCATTAACAGGTGGATTCTTAACCACTGGGCCACCAGGGAAGTCCCTGTTGAGAGTTTTTAAATCACAGTTTCAATTTCAGTACTTGTGACTGGTCTGTTCGTATTTTCTATTTCTTCCTGGTTCAGTCTTGGGAGAATTTATGAATTCTGGGTTGTCCATTTTATGGCCGTATATTTGCTCATTGTAGTCTCTTACGATCTTTTCTATTTCTGTGGTGTCAACTGTAACTTCTCTTCATTTCTGATCTTATTGATTTGGGCCCTCTCCCTTTTTTTCTTGAGGAGTCTGGCTAAAGGTTTATCAATTTTGTTTATTTTTTCAGAGAACCAGCCTTTAGTTTCATTGATCTTTTCTGTTCTTTTTTTTTAAAATATTTTTATTGGAGTATAATTGCTTTACAATGGTGTGTGTGTTAGTTTCTGCTTTATAACAGAGTGAATCAGTTATACATATACATATATCCTCGTATCCCCTCCCTCTATCCCCTCCCTCTTGCATCTCCCTCCCACCCTCCCTATCCCACCTCTCTAGGTGGTCACAAAGCACTGAGCTGATCTCCCTGTGCTATGTGGCTGCTTCTCACCAGCTATCTGTTTTACATTTGGTAGTGTATATATGTCCATGCCACTCTCTCACTTCGTCCCAGCTTACCCTTCCCCCTCCCCATGTCCTCAAATCCATTCTCTATGTCTGCATCTTTATTCCTGTCCTGCCCCTAGCTTCTTCAGAACCTTTTTTTTTTTCTTTTAAGATTATCTATATATGTGTTAGTTAGCATATGGTATTTGTTTTTCTCTTTCTGACTTACTGCACTCTGTATGACAGACTCTGGGGTCCATCCACCTCACTACAAATAACTCAATTTCATTTCTTTTTATTGCTGAGTAATATTCCATTGTATATATGTGCCACATTTTCTTTATCCATTTATCTGTCGATGGACACTTAGGTTGCTTCCATATCCTGGCTGTTGTAAATAGAGCTGCAATGAACATTTTGGTACATGATTCTTTTTGAATTATGGTTTTCTCGAGATATATGCCCGGTAATGGGATTGCTGGGTCATATGGTAGTTCTATTTTTAGTTTCTTAAGGAA